GCAACAGCAGCAACAGCAGCAGCAGCAGCAGAGGTGGTGTGACATGCACTTGTTTGTCTGTCTTTTGTTAGTTTCATTTCCTCCTACCTGTGGGTATTTTCTGTTTATCTTTTTTGTCTCTGCCTTCCCTTTGTTTAATTATTTATTTATTTATTTATTTTATTTATTTATTTTATTTATTTTACTTATTTATTTATTTTATTTATTTATTTTATTTATTTTATTTATTTATTTGTGTCTGACTCTTTTATTTGCTCCGTCGTTGCAGTCGGCAGAATGGAGTGTATGTACACCACATCTAGCTCTTGCTGTGAAGCAGCATTCGTGCTGCTGCTGCTGCTGCTGCTGCTGCTGCTGCTGCTGCTGCTGGGTGTTTGCTGCTGCTGTCCTTGTTCATAGTGCAGCTCGTGCAGCAGTAGCTGCGGCAGCGGCTGCTCTGTTCCGCGCCGCTGCTGCTGCTGCTGCTGCTGCGGCGGCGGTTGCTGTTGCTGCTGCTGCTGCTGCGGCGGCGGCATATAGGGGGGCATCTGCTGCATGTTTTGGGGTTGCTGCTGCTGTTGCTGCGGATAGTATGGTTGCTGCTGCTGCTGCGGGTAATACGGGTGCTGCTGCTGCTGCTGCATGTAATACTGCTGCTGCTGCTGCGGCCCTACAGGGTAAGGGTGTGCATAGGCGCAGTGCTGCTTCTGCTGATGGTATGCATACGGCTGCTGCTGCTGCTGCTGCTGCAGCTGCAGCATCATCTGCTGCTGCTGCTGCTGCAGCAGCAGCATCTGCTGCTGCTGCGGCCGCACCTCTTGAAGCGCTAGCTGCTGCTCGTGTCTTTCCTGCTGCAGTTGCTGCCACTGTATCTGCTGCTGCTGCTGCAGCATCTGCTGCAGCTGCTGCCGGTGTGCTGCTGCATCAAAAGGCCGCAGCTGCAGCCGCAGCTGCAGCACAGCAGCAGCACCCAAAGCAGGGAGAGGAATCACTAGCTCTTGGGGGGCCTATAGAAACAAAAAAAAAAAACAAATAAAACAAACATAAATAAAAAAAACAAACAAATGCTGACAGTGCAGCAGCAGCAGCAGCTGCTGCTGCTGCTGCTGCTCTTGCTGTTGCTGCTGCTGCTGCTGTTGCTGCTGCTGCTGCTGTTGCTGCTGCTGCAGGCAAGCATTTGACAGTTCGAAGGAACTGCTGCAGCAAACAACCCACGGGTTTAGGGTTTAGGGTTTTGTTTTTATATTTATATTTATATTTATATTTATATTTATATTTATATTTATATTTATATTTATATTTATATT